GTGTAGTGGGAAACAACTCAGACCCCACTAAGTTGCCCCCTTTATTGAGTTGCTTTCTGTGTTCACCACTTACTCGTTTTTCATTTTGTGTGGTGTTCGTGGATATTCAGAATTAGTCAACTTATTTTAACGTCAATTTCCTGAAAAGAGAGAGATTCTTTGTCAAATTAATCAGCTCTATTCAATGGTCGTGACTGAAGTGTTCATGACAAAAGAACTCTCTGTAGTTCATCAAGTGGCTCGTGGTGATGCTTCACTAATATAATGAACATATAAGAGAATGAACTTCTATTACAATTTGTTAAGGTCATCTATACTTGAGTTATTGAGCTATTTCTCTATTCAAACAAGAGAGACACTCCGAAAATTTAAGAGGAAGACTCCATAAATCTCAATTTTTGATCGATGCAAAAGGCACAAACTATCGATCTAGGATATAGATAAATGTGTAACCATGATCATGCTGACACTACATTTTTTAGTGTTTTCAAGAAACAAGTTATCAGAATAACGTCATATATGATACATTACAAGAAAGCTTTGTTCAAATTGACAGAAATTGAAGAGAAGGCAGATATTGAGAGAATGATGTATATATGTATTCACTTGACTTGTTCTCTTTAGATTCTACAAGCTCCTATTTATAATACAATGAATGATTAATTAAGGAAACAATCAAGGAAGATACATGGAATCAAATCCAATCTTGGATTGATATAATTAATCAATTATAATCCTAGGTAATCTTCAATTGATCAATTATAATCCGTAATTGATCCTCGCATATCTCTAACACTCCCCCTTAAGCTAGTGGCTAGTATATATCCAACATGCCTAGTTTGTTTAGCAGATATGCATGTGGTCTTTGACATAATGCCTTGGTAAAGATGTCAGCAGGTTGTTCTGCGATTCCAATTCCATTGGTCTTGATTACTCCTTCTTGGATCTTATCTCGAGTGTAGTGGCAGTCTACTTCAATATGTTTTGTTCTCTCATGGAATATGGGATTTGCTGCGAGTTTCAGTGCCACATCGTTGTCGCAAAATAAGTTCGTCGGTCGGCCCTTTAACCCATACGCTGAGGTCTAGAAGCAAGCCTCATATCCAAACTACTTCACAAACGGTTTTTGCCATAGCTCGATATTCAGCTTCAGCTGATGATAATGATACAGTCGATTGTTTCTTCGTTTTCCACGAAAGTAAGGACTTTCCCAACCTAATGCAAAAACCAGTGATGGATCTTCAACTCATGGGACACGTGGTATAGTCTGTGTCACAATAAGCTGTTATTTCCAAACTGCAATCTCGAGAGAGAAGTATTACAAGCCTTGGACATTTTTTTAAATACTTTACGACTTTCAAAGCCGCATTCATGTGAGAATCCTTCGGTTTATGCATAAACTGACTAAGTGCATGTACTGCGTAGCATATGTCCGGTCTGGTTATGGTGAGATATATAAGCTTAGCTACGAGCCTCTAATACAGAGACGGATCTGCGAGTAATGGAGCATCAATTTCAAAAGATGATCCGGCATCGTAATCAACCATAGTTAACTTGATGTTCTGTTGACAGGAATGACAAGGGGTTTACATCTTGACAAGCTTGCTTCTAATATAATTTCTAAAACAAACTTCCATTGGCTAAGAGAAATCCCTAAGTCTGAGCGAGCGATCTTAATACCAAGGAAATACTTGGGAGGTCCCAAGTCTTTAATACGAAAAGTAGAATGCAGGTATTTTTTAAGACTATTGATGACCTTTTCATCGTTCCTCATAAGAAGTATGTCATCAACATATATCATCAGGTAGATTGATGATATACCTTCTGTCCATGTGAAGAGGGCATAATCATGCTTGGACTGTTTGAAACCAGTGGCTGTAAGGACTGTAGTGAACTTTGCGTACCACTGTTGAGAAGTCTGTTTTACTCCATAAAGGGATCTATGGAGACGACATACTCTAGCCTCCCCTTGTTGCCGTAATCCGGATAGAAGAACCATATATATTTCTTCATCAAGATCTCTATGAAGATAGGCATTGTGGACATCCATTTGATGTAATTGCCAATCTTGGAAAGCAGTAATAGAAAGAAAGGAACGAACAATGACGTCTTTCGCAACTGGAGAAAATGTTTCGTGGTAATTGAAACCTTCACATTGTGTGAAGCCTTTGACCACTAAGCGAGTCTTATATCGTTCAACGGATCCATCTGTCTTGTACTTGATCTTATACACCCATTTGCAGCCAATGGGTTTGTGATAAGCAGGTAAAGATTCTATGTCCCAAGTTTTATTTTCTATTAAAGCATGTAGTTCTGCTTCAATGGCCTTCTACCAACGTGGATCACAAACTACTTCAGAGTAAGATGATGGCTCTATCTCCTCGGAAATACGACTAATGCAACACATATGTTCCGTAGACAATCAATCGAACGAAACATAAGAGGAGACAGAGTATTGAGTACCTGATGAGTTGAGAGAGCCACAAGCATAATCCTTGCTCTACGTAGGTGGTCGAGTAATTCGGCTTGAACGTCGAGGGGAAATATGCTCAAGGGTAATAGATGTGAACTTTTCAGTAAACTGTGGAGATGACAGTTCTGGGATAGAATTCTCTTCCATTTGCATTATAAACTCCTCAACCGGATGATTTGGGGTGGATGGAGAAACTGCAGTGATTTCCATTACTGGAGAAGATGTCTGAATGTCTGGGACAAGCATATATTGTGAAATAGGAAATAGATCTACCTCAGATAGAAAACATCTGTGATAAGGATCCGAGCTAGGAGGCTCAATTGAAGATACCTCATCCTGAAATGGAAAAATGCCTTCATGGAAAATAATGTCTCTACTTATAAAGAAGTTACCTGTCAATAGCTCGAAGACACAATAACCCTTATAAAGAATTGGATATCCCATGAAAATGCATCTTTGGGCCTGGGGACTCATTTTGTCACGAGGACCCAAGGTAGTAGCATAACATAAGCAGCCAAAAACCCTAAAGTGATGAATCTCGAGCTTCTTACCAAAAAGAACTCCAAAGGGGGTTCATCCATTGAGAACTCGAGTTGGCATACAATTGATCAGATAAGCTACCGTGATCACACAATCTTCCCAAAAAGTTTTAGGAATGGATGCTTGGAATTTTAGGGCACGTGCAACTTCTTAAATGTGACGATATTTACGCTCAACGATACCATTTTGTTTAGGCATATAAGTGCATGAGCTTTCATGCATAATTCCATGGGAAGAAAAGAGCAATTTATAGTCATGACTAAAGAATTCTTTCCCATTATTTGTTCGAATATGTTAAATAGATTTGCCAAATTGATTTATTGATAGGGTGAAAAAAAAATTAAGTGAGAAAGAGCTTGACTCTTTGACTGCATAAGAAAAATCCATGTAGCACAAGAATGACCATCTACAATGGTAAGAAAGAATCTGGATCCATCATGATGTGGGGTGTGATAAGGACTCCAAATGCCTGCATGAATTAAAGAGAAATTATTTGTGGCTCGAGATGTACTTATGGGAAAAGGCACACTTGATTGTTTTGCAAGAGGACAAATTTGGCGCTGAGGATATGGAAAAGAAGCACTGTGACTTAAAGGTTGATGAGAAAGAGTAATTTTATCATTGGCAGTAGTGTTATCCAATGATTTCTTATTCACGGTAATACATGATAAGTCAAAATTTTTGGGAAAACTGGTCCAAAAATATAATCCTTGTGAAAGTCTACCCAAACCGATCAGTTTGCCAGTCGGAAGGGTCTGAAAGAAAGAGTTATCAGAATGGAAAGAAATATGACAGGAATTGTCTACACAGGCTTTCGATACTGAGACGAGATTGAATTGGAACTGAGGTACATAAAGCACATTCTGAAGGATAATGGATGGACTAAGATTTACTGTCCTTATTTTTGTGACGTATGTAGTATTTTTGTTTGGAAGTCGCACAGATACAGGGGAGTCTAGGCATTTATGAGTATTGGAAAAGAAACTTTCATTACAAATAATGTGGTCACTAGCACCTAAATCAATTATCCATACATCATGAGAAATAGAGCTGAAGCAGTAAGAAGTACCTGAGAAGCTTGCCCTTTTAGCAGAAGTTTCCAATTGTCTCAACGCTCTCATAATTTGTTGATATTGATCATGGATAATTGGCTGAGTGATTTTATCAATATTGTGCCCAGTGACTTGATGAGTAGAAGATTCCCTTTTCCACAGGCTTTCCGTGCAATTTCCAATAGGTTTCCACCATGTGACGTGGCGTTTCTAATAGTCACAGTATAATTTTCCTTTTTCTTTCGATTTTCTCTTCAGTGATGACTTGGCCGAAGGATATCCATTGGTTTTAAAAGTAAGGGCTGATGTGGCGTCTTGCGGGCCGTTCAATCCAGTCATTGGGTAAATGGACCAAGAGCCGTCCGATTTGGCCTTTAAATCATGGTCTTCCGTTCGTTCTTTGAGAAGACTTCACCCATCTCCTTCCTCAGAAAACCTTAGCGCTGTGTTCTCTCCTTTCCATCCTTCAACGCACTTTTTTCCGGTCGTTCTTCACTACTGTTGGCTCGAGTGAGCCGCGAGAAGGATGTTTTCCCTGACCTTCATATTTTCTGAAGAAGTGAGTTGCTGACTCTCTTCTTGGATAGCGAATTGGTAGATTCGGCCAAGCAAAGCATGGGTTCCATAGGCAAAATTTGTGACCAAAAGGGTAAGTACGAATCGTTTAAAATCAACAAGAAATGCATCACCTTCTCTCGATCTTTGATGTTCTTGTATTGCCGCAGTGTCGACTCGAGTCCCTCAAGTTTTTCTTCGGCCACTTCTAATTCATTCTAGAGAGCCAAAAGCTTGTTGAAGCAAGCTGTAATCTACATATTTTCCTATTTCAGTTCTGATAATGACCGGGTAAGTGCAAAAAATTTGGCTTGATATAATTTCCCATACATTTCTTTTGTATTTTCCCACATAATTTTTGAATCTTTCATCGGGGGGAGCTCGATCGCGACCTCTGGGACAATACAATTTTCGATCCATGTTCAGACCAATCGGTTGCACTTATTCCAATGTTGCGCCAGATGGTCGTCGGTCAAAACAAGGACGGTTCCGTCGAGGAAACCGTTCTTGTCTTTTGTCACCAATGCTCGCCGGAATTCCCGAGTCCACGTTGAGTAGTTCTCGGGGCTAGATAGTTGTTGGCTGATTAGGCGAAGTTCCGACCCGTCGCGTCGACGTGTACGATAGGTCGTTGGGCTTCGGTCGGCTTCCTGCGGCGGAGATTTGGTAAGGGACAAACCCGGGTTGGAATACCGGGTAGGCATTCGTTCCCTGACCCATTACACCCGGATGGAACCATCCGGACCGAAGAGTTGGGCTTGCTCCGATAGCAGCTGGTGGGCTTTCCCTAGGTTGGGTATGTTCTTCGTAGGCCTAATTTATTGGCCCTTGAGAAATAAATCATAGGTTGGCTTAGGTTGGTCCATTCATACATGGATTCGGTGCCCCTTGGACAGGCAGCCACTAGATGGGCTGGCCTGGAATGGGTTGCCCCTAGTTGGCTGGGCCTAAACAGGAACCCATGAAATTAGTTGTGTTTGGGCCTCACAACCTTGGTTCAACATACTTATAGGCTGTGTTTGGGCACCAAAACTCTGATTCAGAGCACCTTCAACAGAATCCATCAAATATGAATGTATCTCATCTAGGCCAAAGACTCTTGGAGCTTGGTTTTCTTCGGAGGATGAGATATTTTTTGGCATGGTATTGGTAAGAAAGTAAATTGGTTTCTGTTTAGTGGTTCAAATGTTGATTCCTACACCGGAGTGCTAACCTTGTTTTGCAGGCCAATTTTTCCCTCAATGACAAGGTGCAAAAACTATCCGGAGGGCAATAAAAAAATGCGAAAGCTAGGCCAAGATCAGCCGCTCTGATACCATGACAGGAATTGAAGAGAAGGCACATATTAAGAGAATGATGCATATTTGTATTTACTTGACTTGTTCTCTTTACATTGTACTAGCTTCTATTTATAAGACAATGAATGATTAACTAAGGAAACAATCAAGGAAGACATATGGAATCAAATCCAATCTTGGATTGATATAATTAATCAATTTTAATCCTAGGTAATCTTTGATTGATCAATTATAATCCATAATTGATCCTCTCATATCTTTAACACGAATATCTTTTATAGTGGTGAAGGATGCTTCGTTTGTACTGTTTGAAAATCTTCTTTACCGAATCAATTATAAATTTGACTGATTTAAATTCTCTAAACATTTGGTTTAATGAATTTTTTCTAGTTCAGTCGGCCAATATAGTCGAACAATTTTTCCGATCTTCTTCGCTATCAGCCACATGTAGCTTAGATCACACTCCATTGAGTTTTGTTAGTTTTGCGATTCAAATGTGTGATTTACTAATCTCAAATTGGATTGAGATCCGACCGTGAAGTTTGTACGGCATGAAGATGAACTTGTATCTAGTACTTGATGGGTTCGGAGGGCAACATGATGCGTGCAGAGTTGGTATTGTGCTTGAGCAAGATGCCGTCAATCGATCCTTATCCTGCACGTACTGTACTCTTCTTTGTGTCTCGACCAATCTCGCTCGCTAAGGTATACCTTATGCATCGACAGTAGAGATTGCATAAGGCACACCAACGAGAGCACCTTGCTTGATAAAGGATCTTCACCCGATGTCCGGCACCTTGCTCTATGTATTTGGACGACAAGAAAGTTTTTGGATTGTTTTAATATGCAAAGGGTAAAGACTATAACTAGTCTCTTGGCTTCTCTTGTTTTAGACTCTCTCTCTTACATCACAAATGCAAATTGATAAATTTCGTATTTCTGGTAGTACTATGTATGCTATGGCTTGTGCTCGTCTTAATTTAGTGCACACCGTCGGTATTGTGAGCCAATGCACAAATGGCTAATCATGGTTAAAAGACAGAAAGCATTATTCAAGTGAATTCGGACATACCAAGATACTTCTTTTAATGAATGTTCTGAATTCTTTCATACTTTAAAAGTTACAACTAGGTTGGTTACATTGATTCAAATTATTCATGAGATTTTGATAAACAAAAATCTCTATTGGATATGTTTTTTTTATGTGATTTTTTATAACATATTATCCTAAAATCTAGCAACTTGATCTCTTCTGCCTTTCTCATAAATTCAAATTCAAATTCAAATTTTTTGAATTTAGAATTCTTTCCTCAATGTGAGGATACTTTCCTCAATTTAAGGAATCAATGCCATCATCATGTAACTGTGTGTCTATTTAAACTCATTATATACATCAATAGAAGCAATAAAGAAAATCAAAAATGGAAAGCTTCATCTACTCTATTTATGGTATCAGAGAATTTTGCGTAATTGCCTTACTTGTGATCCTGCTTCTTCTTCCTCATGGCTCTCTCCACCAATTATGAAACTACTAGCACTATCAATACCCCAATTTAGTCCCCACATATTGTGATTTCGAACATTTTCAACCTCATCCCAATCAAACCGAATGCCTCCACCTATCTCCTTTGGAAATCCTTGTCCACACCTATTTTGCGTGGTCAACGCCTGATGCATCATGTTGATGGTTTTATTCCTCCACCTTCACCTAGTGATCTCACATATTCAATTTGGTTTGAAAAGACTAGCTGTTGTTATCCTGGATCAATGCCACATCAAGCGACTCCGCTCTTCCATATATAGTCGGACCTACTTCTGCCAAACAAGCATGGGATCTACTCAATAAGAGATATGCCTCTACAGCATGTGCCCATGTGCTGTCCCTTAAACGACTGTTTACTCGACTCAAGAAGGGTGCTCAATCTAAAGCTAATTATCACCAGCAATTTAAGGTCATTTTTGACTAGCTATTAGCCCGTGACTCTCCCCTAAGCGAGGATAAATTGCTTGTTCACATCCTCGTTGGGCTGCCGCCATCATATCGACAATTATGTTTCTCGGTTCATATTCGTGCTAAGACATTGACCCTATCTATTAAAGAACTTCATACACCATTAATCTATGAGGATCTCTCTTCGATTGAAGATACAATGCCCGCAATTTCAGCTCAGTCTACTGCATTGGTGGCTTCTGAGCCTTTCAAGCCCAATAACTCTCATCAATTCTCTTAGAGCCGCGGCCATGCACGATCTCGTGGTACATCTCCTCCATGCCAACAGTCCTCCACCTCTTATGAATTTGTGCAACAACGACAATCACCCTAAGGTCAACAAAAATCTCAAATTTTGGTTTCTCGTTCACAATTTTCAGATTTGCAATTGTATGGGTCATAATGCCATTGATTGTTATCACCGAATGGACTACACCTATCAAGGATGCCATCCAATACTTGCAGTGATGGCCACCACTGCCTCCACCCCACCCATCACTTGGTACACCGACACTAGAGCCACTCATCATCTCACGCCGGAGCTTGAAAATCACCAAATTTCAGCTTCTTATGATGGTAATGACAGTGTTGAGATAGGTAATGGCCATGGTATGCCCAATGTACATGTAGGTTCCACCACCATATCATCCTCTTCTTCACCTCAAAATCCATATTTCATTATCACACGGCTTCACACAATTTACTATAAGTTTAGTACTTTGTAAAGATAACAATTGTCTCTTTAACTTCGATGCCTTTGGCTTTTGTATTAAGGAAAAGGCCACGGGGAGAATACTATATCAAGGGCCAGTTGAGAACAGCTTGCACCCACTTCACACTCCACCATCATGCACCGGTCTCAAGGCTCATTACAATTCCTCCATCACCACGGACCAATGGCATGCTCGTCTTGGCCACCCCTCTCATGACATTCAATGGACCATTTTCTCAGTCGTTTTTATTTCCAATAAATCAAGCTCTTGCGTATGCTCTTCATGTCGGCAAGCAAAGAGTCACAAGCTCCATTTTCCCAAGTCTCATTCTAACTCTAGTCTTCCTCTAAAATTATTACATTGTGATGTATGGGGCTCCACTCCCTCATTATCTTGTTCTAATTATTCCTATTATGTTCTCTTTGTCAATGATTTTACCAAATATTCCTGCTTATGTCCTATGGCATTAAGATCTTACCTTTATGACAGTTTTGTTATTTTAATAAGCAAGTTGAAAATCTTTTGCGGTACAGCTTCAGCAATTTTCTTCAATCATATGGCATTACATATAAATATCTTTGCCTGCACACACCAGAACAAAATGGTGTTGTGGAGCGCAAGCACCGCCACATCATCAAAATTGGCTTAGCTATGATGGCCCATGCTCATATGCCTTCTAAATTTTGGTTATAAGCCTTCACACAGCCATTTACTTGATTAACCGCATGCCAATACTTCAACATCACACTTGTTCCCCATATCAAACTTTACTTCATATCAAACTTAGTTAGAAGCATTCACCATAGCCATTTACTATGAATTCAATGGGCTGCAAATAGATATTTCGAGTTAAACGAAATCCGGATGGCTCTATTAGTCGCTACAAGGCTCCTTGTTGCTAAGGGTTTCCATCAACAATCGGGTGTTGACTTTATTAAGATCTTCAGTCACGTGGTGAAACCTACCACCATTCAAACTATTTTATCTCTTGCGGTTTCTCACAATTAGCCACTTCGACAATTGGATGCCAAATATGCATTTTTACATGGTGATTTATAGCAAACAACGTTCATATCCCTACCTCCAAGCTATGTTGATCTGGGCAAATCTAATCATGTCTATCACATGAAGAAATCCATTTATGGCTTCCGTCAAGCCCCTCAAGCCTGGTATGAAAATTTTAATTCAAAACTCCACGATTTTGGATTCATCGTCTCCAACTACGATCCATCACTGTTCATTTTCCATCAAGGGCATATAATCTTATATCTCCTCCTATACGTTGATGATATCATACTCACTGGCAATGATACTTTAGCGTTATGGCATTTAATCTCATATCTTGGCCATCATTTCGCACGAAGGATGTAACATCCTGAATTCGACCCACTTTCGTGATCAATAAAATAGATGTGTATTTCTCATTTCATTTTAGTAAGTCTTGCCCGAAACGGATCCTTCTCGGGATACTGACCAATAGAGAATGGCTAACTAGGAAAACGGTATGTGGACCTAAGAACTCGACCGCGAATCGAGTCCGATTCCGAGAAACGACGAGGGAATATTTTGTACCAATGTGGGCCGATCCAAGGAGGGTGACAAGTTTGGTTTAGCCAACGACGTACGATCGGAACGCGGGTGATTCCGCACGACCGAGAGTACGCGTGGCGAACAATTCCGAACTTATTCCGAACGATCGCAACCTCCGGAACTAGCGATAATCCTCGCGTTCTCTTGGAAGTCGAGACCGTCACGACTCGAGTAATCCTAAGTCGATACGCGTAACCCCTAAACAGCCGCCCGTTAGTGAGAGACGCTAAAATCGCATTTGAGCGAAATTGATTGTGGAATTGAGTCCGGACTTGAGTGTCGAATTTCATGGACGTACGCGACTATTTTTGCAAGGACAATGTCGTATTAGTGTGGCCAATTATATTTGGGATCGGTAGAGTCGAAAAATGGAATTTCGGACCGGAATCGGAAAAATTACCGAATTGCCCCTAAGCCCTAAGTGTTAATTCCGAATTTTAGAGGTTTTAATTGGGTTTATTTAACCCATTAGTGCTGAAATTCATTGGACATTGGTGCCCCCATCACTCTTGCTCATTCCCCAAAGTGTCCCTAGATATTTTGTGTCTAGAAACCATCTTGGCCATTGATCTTGATTGGATGTGATTGGTCTTTGAATTGTGGCCATTAGATCTAGTCTTGAGTGGAGAGGAT